GCTGCGGAGCCCGCCCCAGCTGGGCCAGCAGCCCGCAAGGCAGGGGTGGCTTAGACGCCCGGGGGCCCCGGTACGCCTGGGAGCCCCCTCACGCCGGGGTCTCCCTTGGGACCCGTCAGCCCAATTTGGCCTGGAGGCCCGGGCTTCCCTGGGATCCCTGGCTTCCCTTGTGGCCCCGCTGGCCCCACCGGCCCCGGCGTGCCCTCTGGCCCCTGAGGGCCCACGTCGCCTTTCAGGCCCACCTGTCCTTTGAGTCCTGCCAGCCCGAAGCTGCCCTTGGTGCCTTTGAGGCCTGGCAAGCCCTTCAAGCCAACAGGGCCCCTCTCGCCTTCGGGGCCGGGGATACCGGGAGGGCCTCTGGACCCCTGGGGGCCGGGAGAGCCCAGCCCCCCAGCGTCACCCTTCTCCCCCTTGCTGCCTGCGGGCCCCTTCACCCCGACGTCGCCTTTGAGCCCTCTGGGTCCTGGCAGGCCAGGTACACCTGTGGGGAAAAGAGAGCAGAGCATCGTTAACCTGTGTTACCATGGTAACAGGAAAGGATCCAGTGGGAAGCACGGAGCATCGTTAAGTTGTGTTACCCTGGTTACCGTATCCAGGTAACAGGAAAGGATGAGGTGGTGAATACAGATCATAGTTAATCCATGTTACCTTGATTACAACATTCAGGTAACGGGAAAGGTTACAGTATTCAAACAATGGGAGAAGAACAGGTGGGGAGCACAGAGTACAGTTAACTAGTGTTACTTTGGTTACAGTATCGACAATGGGAGAAGAGGTGGGGAGTACACAGCATGGTTAACCAGTGTTACCGTGGTTACGGTATCCCGGCAATGGGGGAAGAGGTGGGAGTGCAGAGCATGGTTAACTAGTGTTACCGTAGTTACAGTATTCCGGCAATGGGGGAAGAGGTGGGGAGTGCAGAGCATGGTTAACCAGTGTTACCGTGGTTACGGTATCCCGGCAATGGGGGAACAGGTGGGGAGGGCAGAGCATGGTTAACCAGTGTTACCGTGGTTACGGTATCCCGGCAATGGGAGAAGAGGTGGGGAGTGCAGAGCCTGGCTAACCAGTGTTACTGTGGTTATGGTATCCCGGCAATGAGGGAACAGGTGAGGAGTGCAGAGCATGGTTAACCAGTGTTACTGTGGTTACGGTATCCTGGCAATGAGGGAACAGGTGAGGAGTGAAGAGCATGGTTAACCAGTGTTACCGTGGTTACGGTATCCCGGCAATGGGAGAAGAGGTGGGGAGTGCAGAGCATCCTTAGCCAGTGTTACTTGGTTACTCTGTCCTGGCAGCAGGAGCCTGCGCAGGGACACCCCCCTGGCTCTGGCAGTCGTTACTGTGGTTACGGTATCCTGGCAATGAGGGAACAGGTGAGGAGTGAAGAGCATGGTTAACCAGTGTTACCGTGGTTACGGTATCCCGGCAATGGGAGAAGAGGTGGGGAGTGCAGAGCATCCTTAGCCAGTGTTACTTGGTTACTCTGTCCTGGCAGCAGGAGCCTGCGCAGGGACACCCCCCTGGCTCTGGCAGTCCCG